TCCTGCTCTTGCTTTGAACCTCCTCCCTTGATCCTGTCTCACCTCTGCCTTGGACCTTCTTGCCCTGCCTTCAGCTTTGCTTTGATCTTATCTTCGCGTTTGGACTCCAGTACCTTGCTCCTGCCTATCCTATCCTGTGTATTGGATTCCTGGACTTCTGGCTTGGCCACGACCACAGAGTCACTTGCCATCTGTCATGATTCATCATGCCATCTGGTATTGCAACCTGAGCTTCTGGACTTATGGTATAGTCAACCCATCATTTTTTAACCCTGATTCCCCATGTCTGGGTCATATCTGTGACAGCTCCTGGACTTGGCACAAAATCTTTAAAGCTTATAAGACTTTAACATCTTTAAAGTCTAATAGGGTAGACTTTAACCTTTTAATCATTAAAGACTAATATTTTTTGTGATTATTTTAAAAGCCAATCTAACTTTGCCCTCAGGAACATGCTGTCTTTCTTTTGTGTTCTTATTCATGTTTTCCAGAGGATGCACTTGATTTTAATTAGCATGGCTCTGATTTCTCCATCAGAGTTGTAGTTTCTTTTCCCAGACCCAGGTTGGCATTCATGCAGAATAATCGTCTAGATTATCATTTTGATAAAATAAAACCAATTTAGGGATTGTTTTAGCTTCTCTCTTCTTCATTTTGGTTGTTTTTACATCATTCATACAGGAATGATTGGTTGTCTCATGCTAGTTGTTCCAAATAGAGAAAGGATGGAGCTTGTAATCATCACAGATTGTGGATATTTATTCAGGGTACCTCAGGCTTATAATGCACAAAAGAAGCAGTGGCCTGTGGATAAGTAAAAGGCTTCAGCTTCCAGCGTGCTCCAATCTTCCCTCATCATTTCCAAATTTGTTCTGAACAACAGAAAGTGAATAAAAGGGAAAGTGATCACAAAAGCACAATTGCATTACTTTTCCCCAACAAATCAGGGAGGGAATTTGCATGTAATAGTTGTTCCTACCCAAATGTTATTCTCCCCTTAACTTTATTCTGTGAGGTTCAAATAGAAATTGCATAATTAAACAAAAAGAAGAAAATACGCACACATTTTTTGAATCTGTAGTTTATATTTGCTTTGTGCAGTCGCTGAAAGTGCATGGCTTTGGTTTGGGCAGAAAGCTGCTATATGTAATTTCCAGGAAGCAGACACTTCATTTAACTGCACTACAGTCAGCACAATTAATTGAAGTGACATATTGAGGCTTCCAGCATGCAGCTTATAATCTTGAGGGTAAGAAACATTTATAGGGGGACTTAAACAGCATACATGAGTTGCTGCCATTTTTCATAAGACTCTTAAGAATTTTCACTATAATGTTTTAGTTGTTTTGAAGTCATAGAAGTATTTAACTAGCAATCGATATATTCTAGACCAAAGGGAAAGCTGATCTTAATAATGTTGTCGTTCCCCTTCTATTCTGAGTTCAGATCTAGTGGATCACAGTTGGTAAACTCCTTTCCTTCTGAGAGAACTCTGTGCTTGCTTTTTAAAAGCTTTTAAAGATAAAGTGGCATATTTAAAAATGTAGCTAGTGTAATAAAAGCCTGGGGTAGGTTATAGATGTGGAAATATTTGTTGTCAAGTGACAGTGGAAAACAACTTTTTGGTTCTTCTGCATTGTACTGAGACCCAAATCTTAATTTCTACATCATCCTTGGGAACATACTGTTTAAATGTCAGTGGATTCCCAGGTAGTTCTGGTATACAGATGTGTTTCTCCTGAGCTGTTTGCTTTTCTTTCACATGCTGTAGAACTATGGTCCAGTGCAGAACAAAAGCCAGGGTAACAGCTCATGAGGGGTTTTTGCAGAGCAGGCCAGGTGAGGTGTAGCAATTTGGTATTGGATCCACACTGAGTGCACTATCCAAAACTGATCCTTTAAGAGGGCTAGGATTCAATGGCTGTGGAGATTACTGCAACCCACAGTTATTATAGTTGATGAAATTGTAACGAAGAATTATTTAGAAAGTTTTTTTACTATCCAACCTATGTCAGCTGATAAGTATTGGACAAGATTGTCAAGAAAGGTTGTTGAGTCTCCACTACTGAAAGTTTTGAGGTGAAGAGTAGACAAAGAGTAGTCTGAGATAGTTTAGACAGTAATGTTTTTGCTTTTGAGTGATGGGTTGAACTAGATGCCAGCTGTTATTTCATTGAGTGTGGGCCCCTTTAAAGACAGGCAGTCTGTCCTCTACCTGCTTCAGGAGTTGGGGAAATGTACCTCAGCCTTGACCCTGCTGTCTGAATAAAGTAGATGGTTCTTCACTGCACTCTCACTATGAGGATTTTTTGGCCTGAATTCTGTATGTTTGACTGACCTTGCATTAACCAGTGTTCAGCTAAATGTGTGTGCAGTAGTAGGAAAATGGTATATGACACACAATTAATGCATAGCATTTTGTGAGGTAACCATCTAACCAAAAAGGTCTTCCCTGACTACCAGGTTACTTATCTCTGCATGACAATGATATCTTTTTATGAATGATGCACGTGTTTGGCTGACAAAAACAGAATGCACAGTTTGGTGCACTGGCCATGCAATTAAAGTACTGGTACTGCTTTTTTCAAAAGGTTGCTTCTCAGTGGACTGGAAGCATCTTGCACATTTCTGAATTTGATAAGCTCTTACTAAAAGCAGCAAGTTGAATTATACAGTAGTATTCCATTCATTATTTACCATCTCTTTTTAAAGTCTGTCACTATGAAAGAGATCTGGCATACAGTATTGATTCTTGATAGAATGCCCTGATTTAATCAAGAGAGAAAACAAAGATAAAAAGATTGAAACTGTTTCTCTAAGTTATAGCTCTGTGTATCATTAACAGAGTTCAGAAGTTGCATTATTTCTTTCCCGTCTATTCGGATTTCTCATGTAAATTAAGAACAGAGTACTCTTCACATCTCCTTTTCAGAATGTTCCTTAGTCTGTCTTTACAACCTGGTTTATTTCCTCATTATCACTCCTTTGTAAGCCCAATATTATCGATAGTGAGATACTTATCAGCACAGAATAAAATAAAAGTAATGCAAAGGCACAACATTGTCTTATTATAGTCTTTGGTTAGGTTTTGTATATCATAGCTATTTTTAATTTTCCAGGTGCTGAACAGCATAGAGGGATCCATGAGTGTACAGGCAGATTAGATGCATCAGCAGCTGAAGGTTTGTCATCTGTTTCATGCAGCTACTTTAAAAAGTATTCTCATAGGTGTCAGGAACTGTGGGAAATAGATCACCAAAGTTATTTCACTTAAATGAAATAGCTATCGTTTGAGAGTGAACATCGATGGGGAAGGATGCGTGCTGTTGATCTCAAATTTATTTGCAGGTATATAATTAAACAAAGAGTGGTCTGGGATCTATTTTTTACCAAGTGTGATTGTGGTATCTGATTTCCATACGTTTTTCTGTATATTTTGTTTTGAGAAAAACTTATCGTTTTCATATTCACATAAATATATTTAGAAGATGAGAATTCTTTGTCCTGGAAAGTGATGGCATGAGGTTGTTTGTTTGTTTGTTAGGTTTTGGCTCTACAGGCGACCTAGCTCCCAGTTTCTCCAGCTGGTACTCCTTTATACCAGGGGTGAGCAGTTATTTGGGCTGGAGGTCCACTTATGGAGTTTTGGTGAGCTGTTGCGGGCTGGGTCAGCAGTGTCCCGCTCCCCCCTCTCCCCGCAATGGCTCACCAAAACTCCCTAAATAAGAGATTACTGAACCAGTACAGATGGAGTGGATGGATGGGGTCTCCTTGGAGACCAGCCCAGGACTCCTGTGACCAGAGCTGGGCAGATGGATGGGCTAGGAGCAAGACCGGCAAATGGTGCCAGGGCTGGGGCCAGAGCAGACCTGCAATCCACTCCCTGCATGATGGATCATGATTGGCCTGGCCCAGCAGGTGGGTGGAGGGCATGCCCAGTGACCCAGCCCCCGCTGCCCTGCCCCAGCACAGGTGCATGCAGGTAGCCCCAGTACAGCATGGCTGTGCAGCAGCATGGCCTGGCACTGTGTGGCAGCCCTGATGGATTTTGACTGGATTAGGCCACCCCTCACTGCTGGGCTCTGCTGCTCCGCAGCTGCACTGTATTGGGACAGCCCTAGTAATGGGGGCTGAGTTATGGGCATGCAATCCACCCTACCCCTGGGTCAGGATGATCATAAGCTGTCATGTGGGGAGTGGATCGTGGCTCTGCCCCAGCCCCAGCCCACACTGTCACCACCCTGTGATCCTGGACCCAGCCCCCATCCATCCATTCTGCTCCTGGATGCTGCTCCCTACCCACCCATCTGCCCAGCCCTGCCAACAGGGGTCCTGGGCCGGTCTCCATGGAGATCCTGCCTGCCTGCTCCATCTGGCAGCCCTGGAGGTGGGTGCAATGTGGACATGGCTAGGCCTCCCCAGACCTGTTGCATGCCCGAGGGTAGCAGGACCAGCCACATGTATCACAGCCCAGGGACCTGCTGCAGGTTGGATAAAATCCGTTGCTGGGCCAGATCTGGTCCACCGGCCATACTTTGTCCACCTTGCTTTACACCGATAAGCTAGTTTCACAAATTAAACTCATGTATTTTACACAGCCTCCGGTGCCATAATGAGCTATGGACTTTTATGCACATAACAGTGTGGATAGGTGTTTAATAGAATTACAAAGTTGTCAATGGGTTAGGCTCCATAGGACATAGATGTCTACTGTAGATACTCTTGTAAGTACCATCTAGGTGCCTGTCTGCATCTTTAGATACATGTGTAAATTTGGTAAAGAGATACCAATTAATTTATTAGGTGAGTGTTCCCAAGTGAGATGGAATTAACAGATGCTTGGGAGGCAGGGAAAATGTCTTAGCTACTGAAACAAAGGCCTGACCCTTACAACTCCTCAGAAGCACTCTTCCTTATAACTCCACTCCCTCCATGAACAGCTCATGACCAGCCTGACCCAGGAGGGGGGTGGAGTTCACACCCATAACCTTGACCCCCTGCTACCAGGGCTGTCCCAGTACAGTGCAGCTGTGGAAGAGCACAGCCCAGCAGTGAGGGGTGGCCTAATCCAGTCAAAATCCTCTGGGGCTGCCATGTGATGCCAGGTCATGCTGCTTCACAGCTGTGCTGTATTGGGGCTGCCTGAATGCACCTGTGCTAGGGCAAGGGCAGTGGGGGCCAGGTCACAGGTGTGCACTCCACCCCCTCCTGGGCCAGGCCGGTCATGATCCATTGTTCAGGGAGCAGATCTTCTCTGGCCCCTGTCCTGCACTGTCACTGCTCCGTGATCCCAGTCCCTGGCAATTCATCTGGATACACCGTTTGTAGAATCAGGATCTAAATGATGTGCAGCTAGAAGCTTTAAATGGTGTTTTGTGGAGTTTTGAACTGAGTTAATGTGATTGGTTTCTAAAATAGGATTACTCTTTCAACTTTTTAGCTCAGTTTTTAACATTGGACTACATATTTCCTACTCTGTCTCTTCCACTCTCCCAAAAAATATCATGGTGGTTGCAGGCATTTCTGCATTTGTACTTGTTTAGAGCCATCAAAGTGAATTCTAGCCATGGAAAGTGCACAGAGCGATTATCTTAATTATCTTCATAAGAAGAATTTAGTTAAGGCATGGAAGTCTGTAGAGCTTCACAAATGAAGAGATCTCTCTCTTTTTCCCCCCCTCACTATAAAGCAAATACTTACTGTTACAGTCTGTCAGGCCACAGCCTGGAACTTGAGGCTTTTGCCTGATAGCACAGCTGCTCATCTCAGCCTGCCACCCCATGACTACCTACCCAGGCTGGTTAAAGCCAGTGGGAAGCCTCCAGTAAAGCCTAACCCTCTGCCCACTCCCTGGTACCAGAATGGCTGGCCAGGGTCAGCTGACCCTCCACTGCCCCCATATAAGCCCCTGTCCTGGAACAGGAAGTGTCTGGGCAACAGGGTGGTTTGTGGTTCCCTCTGGCTTGCTCCTTAGCTTCACCCTCTCTTTGCTCTCCTGGTTCCTTGACCTGACCTGACCCTTCCCTGGATTTTGCTCCTGGATTGACCTTCTGGCTTCCTGACCCAGTTTGACCTCAGATTCTACTATCTAAGTCCTATTCAGTACTTTGATTTCCCAAGTGGTCCCAGATCAGGCTGCCAAGTGTTGTCTTGGCATGCCATAGTCTTGTACCAGTTTGATGCTTACTCAGTGTAAGAAGTAGACATTGACACTATGATCAGAAACGTTTGGGTACTTACAGGCTTCTGACATGCCCTTGACTATGTAAATGGACATTTACAGAAGTAAACCCTTGTTTTCACATTTATAAAGGAATGGTAAAAAAAAAAACTTTTTTTCCTCTGTGTTCAGCACCAAGTAGCTTAGTACTGCTGCCAAGTATTTCACTAATACCAGATTGAGTAACACTCCAATTAGCCATCTGAACAGTTTAACCAGCATATGAGCTGTAGGCAATTACAGTGAATTCCAGTCATTTTAATAGTATGTTGTTTTGTGAATAGACCTATTGTTTTAAATAAGACTTGTAATAGAGTGAGTTATAGTCTGTATGAGTAAGAGTAGGCCAAGTCCAGACATAGAATGAATATGTGTAGCTTTAATACTCATCAAACGGACAGAATAGGAATGTTATTTTTTTAATCATGCAATCAAAAATGGACAGTCAACATAGTAACATTTCCTGGAAGCAAAAGGAGTGAGAACAACATTGTATTGAAGGAACTGTTTGTTTATTTGGAATGATAGCACATTACCATAGAAAAGGAATTAAATGTTGATGTTCCAATTCCTTAGATAGTCTTGAAAATCACAGGGTTTAGTGTGCATCTTTCTTCTTCTGAGTAGAAGAGTAATCGTCTTAGAACACCTTTTCCAGTCCTCTCAGAGGGCGCATCTACACAAGATGCTCTACTGCGCATTAGACTAATCTGATATGCAGTAAAGCATCACTATCTACATGCGTACGAGACTTACTGCACAGTAAATTAGGCTAATGTTCCATTTGCTAGTACCAAGAAATCAATTAACGGTGCATTAGCTACGGCACAGTAGCACATGTGTAGACACTGACTGGGAGTAATTTGCTCTCAGTCAGCCTAGGCAGCAGGGGGCCACTGAGGGTTGGGGGGGGTGTTGCGGGAGCTGTCCACAGCTCCAGTGTGGAGCTTGGGATCACAGCCCAGCTTGGTGACACTGACTTAGGTCAATACCTTCTAGCCAGGTGGCAGCAGGGCCCTGAGCTGTCCCCTCACTCTGCTTGCTGAAGGGATGGGGGAGCTTTCTCTCCCCGCGACGCTGAGAGACAGAGTGTCCCTGTCCCCTTAGCCATGTTGCTACCCATGTAGCAGATGCACCAGTTGACTCCTGCTCCCCTCTCATGCCTGGGGGAGCCAGGAACTGAGCAGCACTGGGACCAGGGGGGAGCTGCAAGCAGGGGTTAAGCAGTGCTAGGACCAGTGGGAGCCACAGGGGGAGGGTGGGTAAGCAGTGCTGGGACTGGGGAGTGAGCAGTGCTGCTTCTCCTGGTCCTGGTGCTGCTTAACCCCTTCTCCCCCATGACTCCCCCCAGTCCCAGCGGTGCTTAGCTCCTGGCTTCCCCCAGGCACAGATATGGAGCGGGAGTTGACTGGTTCATGCACTTCGTGGGCAGCAGCAGGGCTGAGAGGATAGAGAAGTTCTCTGTCCCCAGCCCAGCACTGCAGAGAGCTCCCCTGTTCCAGTGCTGTTCAGCTCCCGGCTCCTAGGGGAGCCAGGAGCTGAGCAGCATTGGGACTGGGGTCAGAGAGCTCCCCTATCCCCCCAGCAAGCCAAGATAGGGGAGAGCTCGTGGCACTGCTGCTGCTCAGCCAGCAGCACCCCACAGGCTGTGATCCTGAGCTCCATGCAGCTGGGAGCTGTCCCCTGCTCTGGGACAGCCCCCTCTTGCTCCGCAAAGCCCAGGCCTCACCCTGCTGCTCCCTGCCAGCCTGGGGCTGGCACCAGGGGAGCCTGGAGCTCCCCTTGGCTGCTGCAGGTGCCCAGGAGCAGCCCTGGCCTCAGCTGCTCCTGTTGGGAGCAAATTTGCTCCCAACGTGGACATACATGTAGATGTGCTCCTGGGCTCAGTTTACTGTGCCTTATTTTAATGCAAAGTAACAATTGCACATGTAGACATGCCCAGAGCAGAACCACAGCCACTTG